AATAACCCAAAACAGTGTATATTATACTATTATACATACTATATTTAGTATGTGTGAAAGTTATACAGACTACAAACTATGGTATATATGCAGTATTTGAAGATTGATCAGATCTGATGAACTAACATTTCTTGACACCCTAAAATGCCAGGACAGTACAAATTCTCCTCAAACGACCCCTTTTTGGAACGTAGACAGTTCAAGGTATTTAATAAGAGGCATGTTGAGTGTTTTGAAGTTGTAATTTTTTGTCACAGTTTTTTGGGAAAATTAAGAAATTAAATTTTTTTTTTCCCACAAAGTTGTAATTTTAAGTTATTTCTCACACACAGCACAGGCATACCGTACTTACAACTACACCCCAAAACACATTCTGCTATGCATGCTGAGTATGGGGATACCACAGGTGTGAGACTTTTTCACAGCCTAGATGCATGGAATGGTCTAAAATTCCAGTAGCACCTTAAGGCATTCCAGGGGCATAAAAATTACACATAAATTCCGCATCTAATTTCCCGAACACCTATCACATTTACGGAGACTCTGGAGCACTAGGACAGTGAAAACAACCACAAAATGACCTCATTTTGGAGAGTAAACAACCCAAGGTATTTTTAAGAGGCATTGGGGAGTCTACTGAAGACTTAACTTTTTGTCACAAAATGTTGGAAATTGTGGAAAGAAAATGAAAATATTTGTTTACACCAAGTTGTCAATTTAATAAGATATTTCTCACACAGGGTATTGGCATACTTAGAATTACACCCCAAAACACATTCTGCTATGCATGCTGAGTATGGGATACCACACGTGTGAGACTTTTTCACAGCCTAGATGCATGGAAGGGTCTAAAATTCCAGTACCACCTTAAGGCATTCCAGGGGCATAAATTACACATAAATTCTGCATCTAATTTCCCGACCACCTATCACATTTACGGAGACTCTGGAGCACTAGGACAATGGACACAACCACAAAATTACCCTATTTTGGAGAGTAAACAACCCAAGGTATTTTTAACCCCTTGGCGCTGGAGCCTCCCGGCCCTTTAAGGGTTTCAGAAGCCGGGAGGCAGGGCGGGGTTCAGGGTCATGTGACAGGTCGTCACGGCGGTCACATGATCGGGAAAGGTCCCAATCGAAAGAGGAGATCGGGACCTTTCTGTGAGTACTGGACATGTGTGCTGGGAGCGGGCGCTTGGCGTCCAGGCCCAGAAGAGGTTAAGAGGCATGGGGAGTCTACTGAAGACTTAATTTTTTGTCACGAAATTTTGGAAATTTTGGAAAGAAAATGAAAATATTTGTTTACACCAAGTTGTCAATTTAATAAGATATTTCTCACACAGGGTATTGGCATACTTAGAATTACACCCCAAAACACATTCTGATACTCCTTCCGAGTAAAGGGATATGTGAGACTTTTTCACAGCCTAGCCACACACAGGGGTCCAATATCTAGGGGCATAAAATACGTATTTCATTTCCTGACTATATGTCACACATTTGGAGGCCCTAGAGAACCAGGACAGTGGAAACTATTTGGGACACTGCCTCTGTTGACACTGTTACTGGTATGGTGGTGATCAGGACACTGGTATGGCTGTGATCAGAACGCTGGTATGGAGTATGGCGGTGATCAGGATGTTGGTATGAGTATTCAGTTGAAGGCGTTTCTCTTTAAAAAGTTACAGGTTTAGTAGTTTTGTTTAATGGTTAACATGAAATCTAAAGATATCTGTAGATAATGGCTTCACCAGACTGCTCTTAAACTACTCAAAATATTGGATTTCTGGCAGGCATCACTTAAAGGAATGCCCTGCTGTATGACATTGTATTCATTTGAATTTCTTCTCCAACTGTTTTAACAGTTCAGCCTTATCTCCAAGGGATTACTTGAATTTTTATTGTTTATTGCTATTCTATCCTTGTTATAATGGCCTTATAATTGCCTCAGATGGTAAGTCTGTCCTGTCTACTGCTTGAGCTCAGTGCTGATAACAGACACTCAACAAACTGTCATACAGCAAAGGTTCAAAAAGGACTAGATGAAGCAGACTTAAATGCATTTTTCAATTGACAGTTTTAACCTTCTTTGGGGGTCCTAACAGAACTTAAGTTATAAGTCTTTGGCTAAGCCAGGAGGTTAGCCTCTATAGGTCTTCATTACAGACTGTTGTCTGGCTGACATTTCTGCTCTGACATGTAAAGAATACTAGCACTGTAAATGACAATAAATAAATATACATACATAAATAACAAAGAAAACTGAAGATCCAGTGATTTTTCTGAAATATCCAGTCAAGCAACCACTTTAATAATACATAAGTCGATGTCCACGCTGGGGTTCATGGAGTATGTAAAATATTAATATGCTAAAAGAATCCGGGGTCTAGTGAATGGACATGGGACAGTGGGAAACCTGAAAAAATATGTTCTTAACCCCTTGGCGTCGGCGCCTCCAGGCCCTTTAAGGGTTTCAGAAGCCGGAGGGCAGGGGGGTTTTAGGGTCATGTGACAGGTGATTCGTCACAGGCGGTCACATGATCGGGAAAGGTCCCGATCGAAAGAGGAGATCGGGACCTTTCTGTGAGTACAGGACATGTGTGCTGGGAGCGGGCGCTTGGCGTCCAGGCCCAGAAGAGGTTAAGAGGCATGGGGAGTCTGAAGACTTAATTTTTTGTCACGAAATTTTGGAAATTTTGGAAAGAAAATGAAAATATTTGTTTACACCAAGTTGTCAATTTAATAAGGCTCACACAGGGTATTGGCATACTTAGAATTAGTGTGCGGCCGGCGTGAAGAGGTCAATGCCCACCAATCCAGTGAGCGCCTTTACGTTTTACAACTTCTTTCCCTATTTTCTTTAAAGGATAGGTTCACCTTTTTACAAAAAATAATAAATGCACATTTTTTTGCAAGTGCAAAAATATACATCTATCATTTTTTGTTTCTGGAGCCTCTTCTGCATGGCACCAGCGATCAGCAGATCGCTGGTGCCATGCAGGTCTCCGTGTATCTATGTGCCCATACATCTCTTACGGGCAAGCAGAGACTCAATGAACTACCACAACGCTCCGCAGCGCCATGGTAGTTCATTGAGAACTACAAGCTGCCAGCTGTTGAAATTGTAGTGTTCTCAATCACAGAATACTGTGAATGAGTGATGCGGCCTGGCGGGTGGCGCTTTTTATAAATTGTGACAGCTAGCGGGAGGGGAGGAAGATCCCCCGCTAGCTGTCACAGCAGGGATCAGGGGGTCTGAATATGGGGGGTAACACATTACAAAAGGTGAACTTATCCTTTAACCCCTTAGCTGTGTAATTGTCACTAATATAGCCATACAAGCTTTGCACCTAAGCCTTCAGACTTAACTTTTTGTTATTTTATATTGTGGAGTATGCAGCAGGAGGTGAGGGAAAATGCAGATGTGGGCAGCATCACCCAAGTTCCAGGTGGACAGGAACAGAGTTAGGAATTCTGGAAGGGAGATCTTGCTGTTGGAGTATTGAAGATGCCAGGGGCCCTGCCTATAGCTGAATTTTTTTTAAGGATGAACTGATATTTTAACCCGTACCTTTGTAGGGAATTGCTCAGAACCAGGGTGCCGACTGACCATTTGGAAACTCGGGCACTGCCCGAGGGCCCGGGGTCAGTAGGGGGCCCCATGAGATGCCCCTGGTACCTTTTTCATTTTTGAGTTTGGGCAAGGGCACAGGGGCCCCATGATCCCCTATTGCCCAGGGACCCCATGAGTTGCCAGTCCGCCCCTGCTCAGAACATAGTCAACTGTATTCGTTTGAAAAAGATAACATGCAAAGGACAGCATTTGTTAGTATCCCATTTTAGAGGTAAAGGCTAGCATGTAATTAATTGTTCTGGCATATCCCCACTTCACTGCTTGTTTCATTATGCTGTTAAATAAATGGCCATGAAAAGCTACAGGGAAGCCAATGACTTTCACATTTTTTTTTGAGCGAATAAGCAATTCTGTGTGTAGGAGACCATAGTTTGTGGTTAATTATGAATCACAGTTACACTGTTCTATAAAAATTTATTGCAAGGTCCGGGTATGTGTAAACCAGCATATTTCAGTACTTTGTCAAATTAAAGAGAATTTGTGTGCCCCGTTTTATACGTGTTTCTGATCTCTTACAGTAACACTTTTAAACAAGCCTCATGGTTCCCTTTTACAAACACAAATAAATGTTCTGATTAAAGTGTGTGTCTGTATGCAAAGGTCAACAAGAGCTGCAGACACCATGTTAGTTTTGGACACAACTATCTAGACTTTCCATATATTACATTTACCCTTTCTTCATTTGGGGCCTCCTTGGTATGTACTGTATAAAAGTATTACAGCTAGCAAAAGGAATGTGTAGTGTTAGTACATTAAGTATGTATTATGTTTTTCTTTTCAAATTTCACAGATGTACATGTGCAATTTGCCCTCCACCATGTATGAATATTTATTGTGACAAATATTACCTAGCGGTATGATTATTTCCGATTTTTGGTGCTGAAAGCGGTACCATTATTTTGCATGGAAATATGTAGTTTTTTTTATTGTAGGCTGTAATATTTAGGAATAACTCACTGAAATCTGTCCGAACAAGAGTCTAGTAAACATCCCGGGTATGATAAAATTTGAAACACGAAATCATAAATTATAATTTAATAAATAATCATAAAAAATAATAATATAATAATATTACATTTAATTCAATAATATAATCAAACCAAAAACACTGAAATTTGAAATATAGCGCCAAGTTCGCACATTGCTGAGCAAAGTCGCAAAATCGTTTTCAGTGTCTGATGACGAATTTCTCCACGAATCATTATCACTCAATTCTGCAAGTGGTTCTGATTTACTATCGCTGTTCTCTAGCTGATCTAAACTCGCTTTTGACCTTAAGGGACGCTTTTTGGACGCTGTGGACTTTTCTTGGTTTCCAGGCAGAAAGAACAGTCAAAATGCAGACAGGGGACAGGACAAAGCACTAGGGACAAAATGTATGTGGAATGGGTTGAAACAGCAATGTTTTACTATGAAAAATCATTTTGAAAAGAATAAAAATTTTTTTAAATTTTCAAATTTCCCGCCGCCTGCGGCGCCCGTACGTCCCGACGTCACAGGGACCGGAACACAGGAGCCGGATGCCGGCATCTGCCGGAGGAGATGGCCGGGGACGCTGCAGGGGACACATCGCGGGAGCGAAGGACAAGGTAAGTGCTGCAGGGACTCCCTATGCAGCGCTGCATGGTAACCCCGAGTGTAGCTCGGGGTTACCGCTTTTGGTATAGAAATTTTACCCCGAGCTACACTCGGGAATACTGCCAGGGAGGTTAATGATCAATGGGCACAAAAAAAATACTGAGGCCTTTGGATTGGCAGGAGCCAAATCAACTAGCATTTTTGGATAGCTTATAAAACATGCAACAAAAGTAAACATACTTCAATTATTTCTCATTTGTAATAAAACAGTGAAATGTATAACTCCGCCTAATAATGGGTACTTAATACATATTGTAGTTTGTCAAACAGGTTCAAGGACATTGTACTATACAAATTATGCTGTCACTGTCTGTAACCTAATAATAATAAAATCAAGGGAACCTTTTAGAAATACTTGACAATGTTTCAGCACAACTTTCTTTTAGTAAGATTCCCTTTACTGTTGGAATACAGTGGGGAAAAAAGTATTTATTCAGCCACCAATTGTGCAAGTTCTCCCAATTAAAATGATGAGAGAGGCCTGTAATTGGCATCATAGGTAGACCTCAACTATGAGAGACAAAATGAGAAAACAAATCCAGACAATCACATTGGCTGATATGGAAAGAATTTATTTGCAAATTATGGTGGAAAATAAGTATTTGGTCAATATCAAAAGTTCATCTCAATACTTTGTTATATATCCTTTGTTGGCAATGACAGAGGTCAGACGTTTCCTGGAAGTCTTCACAAGGTTGGCACACACTGTTGCTGGTATGTTGGCCCATCCTCCATGCAGATCTCCTCTAGAGCAGTGATGTTTTGGGGCTGTCACTGGGCAACACGGACTTTCAACTCCATCCAAAGGTTTTCTATGGAGTTGAGATCTGGAGACTGGCTAGGCCACTCCAGGACCTTGAAATGCTTCTTACAAAGCCACTCCTTCGTTGCCCGGGTGGTATGTTTGGGATCATTGTCATGTTGGAAGACCCAGCCACATTTCATCTTCAATGCCCTTGCTGATGGAAGGAGGTTTGCACTCAAAATCTCCGGATACATGGCCCCATTCATTCTGTCCTGTACATGGATCAGTCGTCTTGGTCCCTTTGCCGAGAAACAGCCCCAAAGCATGATGTTGCCACCCCCATGCTTCACAGTAGGTATGGTGTTCTTTGGATGCAACTTAGCATTCTCTCTCCTCCAAACACGACGAGTTGTGTTTCTACCAAACAGTTCTATTTTGGTTTCATCTGACCATATGACATTCTCCCAATCCTCTTCTGGATCATCCAAATGCTCTCTAGCAAACTTCAGATGGGCCCGGACATGTACTGGCTTAAGCAGGGGGACACGTCTGGCACTGCAGGATCTGAGTCCCTGGCGGCGTAGTGTGTTACTGATGGTAGCCTTTGTTACGTTGGTCCTAGCTCTCTGCAGGTCATTCACTAGGTCCCCCCGTGTGGTTCTGGGATTTTTGCTCACCGTTCTTGTGATCATTTTGACCCCACGGGGTGAGATCTTGCGTGGAGCCCCAGATCGAGGGAGATTATCAGTGGTCTTGTATGTCTTCCATTTTCTAATTATTGCTCCCACAGTTGATTTGTTCACACCAAGCTGCTTGCCTATTGCAGATTCAGTCTTCCCAGCCTGGTGCAGGTCTACAATTTTTTGTTTCTGGTGTCCTTCGACAGCTCTTTGGTCTTCACCATAGTGGAGTTTGGAGTGTGACTGTTTGAGGTTGTGGACAGGTGTCTTTTATACTGATAACAAGTTCAAACAGGTGCCATTGATACAGGTAATGAGTGCAGGACAGAGGAGCCTCTTAAAGAAGAAGGTACAGGTCTGTGAGAGCCAGAAATCTTGCTTGTTTGTAGGTGACCAAATACTTATTTTCCCCCATAATTTGCAAATAAATTCTTTCCAAATCAGCCAATGTGATTGTCTGGATTTGTTTTCTCATTTTGTCTCTCATAGTTGAGGTCTACCTATGATGCCAATTACAGGCCTCGCTCATCTTTGTAAGTGGGAGAACTTGCACAATTGGTGGTGACTAAATACTTTTTTGCCCCACTGTATCTCGTAACAAGCAATGTGTAGAAAGTCATTGCAGAACTCCTTCCAAAAATGCTAGTTGATTTGGCTCCTGCTAATCCAAAGGCCTCAGTATTTTTTATTTCTGAGTTAAAGGGTTAGTTCACCTTTTCAACTACAACACTAATACTGCAGCCCCTACCCCACCCCAATCCCCGCTGTACTTACAGTACTCTGTGGGTGATGAGTTGTCAGCAACCATACAGCTGATGCAGCGGCCCATGGATTTGAAATCCCCGCTCTCTTCTCCCTCTTCTCTGTGCAGTGCTTCTGGGAGGGATTAAATTGATGCTCTGTGCCAGCGCTGACCAATCAGAAGCATTCTGATCCGTCCTGAAGGCACTGCAAAATGGGAGAAGAGTGTAAGTACAGTGGGGATGGGGGGGGGGGGTGTGGAGAATGTACGTTGTTAGTTTACCTTTTCAGTTTTTTCTGGAAAGTTGAACTTACAAGCTACTAGCATTTCCAGTCAATTGTAATCCCTGTATTACCCTCACAGATGTTCTTTACATAAGAAACGCCATGGGGTTACTAAGGGCACATAGACTGTTACATTTTCAAGGGAAGTTAAGCTTTTCTAAGGATTTTCCCCAGAGCTTAGTGAATGAGGTGAAGCTCTGCTAACTTTCATCATCCAATCATGTGCACAAAAAAATGCTTTTTTTTTTTTTAAATTTTCCTTGCACATGATTGGGCATTCTTTGTAAAGTGAATTTTCACCAGATTCATTAAACTCTGGGAAAAAATTCCTTTGCAAAGTGCAAGTTCCTTTGAAATATCAACAGCTGATTTACTTTTAGTAATTCAACTAAATTGCCCTATATTTCTGTAATGGACCGCCTGACAGCACCTCTATCAATCCCCTGGCAGAGCCTCCCCAGAGTGCGGAGTCTAAGCATCGGAGCACTTGTTCACCAGAGCCACTGATGGTGGGGATGGACTTGGAGCGCTCCGGTACCAGGTCGCAGCTGCTTGGTATCTCCAACAGGGGTAGAGGAGTCTGACAGGAGCTCCAGGGGGCTAAGAGTCTGATGTGAGGGAGCCTAGTGATCCCTGTGGGATGGATGAGCTAAATCAGAGTCATACAGGCCGGGTCGGTAACTAGCGGGTCGGTGAGGTACAAAACGGTAGGCAAAGGATAGTCGGGTCCCACGCAGGGTCAATGCCAAAAGATCAGATTTAAAGGGGAACATCCAGGAGCAGAGTCAGGCAGGCCAAGGGTCAGGACAGGAGAAGGCAGCAAGGTCAAACAATTCAGATCAAGATACTCACAACACAGGTAACAGCATACAAAGACCATTCGTCAACAAGTGTTTGTGCAGAGCTGGTTTAAATAGCCCGCCCTGCACCTGACAGGCGTAGCCTAGGTCCTAGTGCCTGCCTAGTACTGTCAAGACGACGGGTGCGCCTGGGTCCTAGTGCCCTGCCACCTACACGTCTTGGCAGACACCTACGCCTGTATAGACCCCATGCGTCGCGACGGTCCCTGACAATTTCCTTCTGATTTTTTTTTCTCAAACTAAAGTTTGTACAGTTTCTACAATTCCAAGCTACCTAAAACACATACAGTTCTCCACAACTATGGCTCATGTTCTGTGTTTAATGTGCGCTTGAAATGCACTTCAAATGTAGGTATTTTGATTCCCATTTACTTAAGTGGTATAGTATGGATGCCCACTCCGAGGTGGTGTTTGACCTTCTTTAGGGTTACTAAGTTCTTTTATCTACAAAATGATAGGTTATTAGCTTTGAAAATCAGTAATTCCTATACCAGATCTGTTAGTTTTTTTACCTGCAAGTAATACCCTACAGTGAGAAGACTATGACCTACTCATGCCTGTAGAAAATAGATTGCAGCTGTTTGACAGGAGTGTATAAATCCAGCTGTTAAATCATTATTTTTACTCACCACATCTACACCTGGATTCTGTTATTCTGCATCTGTGAAGCCATGCTAACTTTTGCGCTGACACTAAAAAATAGGAAAAATGTATGCATTTTGAATTTAAGCAGCCAATTGAGAAGTTGCACGATAGCGATAATCTTAGGATATTTGCTGTTGCTATCTGCAATGCTGTCTGAACTTATTTATTATGTTGATAAAGACCCATAGTAGTCTTATGTCTACATATTATTATTATTATTATACAGTATTTATAAAGCGCCAATAGTTTGCTCAGCGCTGTACATTACAAAGGGGGACAGAACATGTGACAGAACAATACCAATACAATGCAAAACATGAGGGGATCGAGGGCCCTGCTCTTTCGAGCTTACAATCTAGGAGGGGGGGGATAGTGGCACAGGAGGAGATAGCTGTGGGGGATGGAGTGGTAGGAAGAGTGGAGGAGGTCGGTCAAGTTAGCAGGGGGTGGGGTAGGCTTCCCTGAAGAGATGGGTTTTCAGGGTGCGCCTAAAGGAGAGGAGAGTAGGTGATAATCCGATGGGTTGGGGCAGGGAGTTCCAGAGGATGGGTGACACCCTGGAGAAGTCCTTGAGGCGGGCATGGGAGGAGGAGACCAGGGAACTAGAGAGAAGGAGGTCTTGTGAGGAGCGGAGTGTGCGTGTTGGGTGGTACTTGGATATTAGGTCAGTGATGTAGTTCGGGGCAGTATGGTGGACAGCTTTGTACATCAGTGTTAGGATTTTGAATTTGATCCGTTGCGCAATTGGAAGCCAGTGGAGGGATTGGCAGAGGGGGGTTGGGGGAGAGGAGCGGTTGGAAAGGAGAATGAGTCTGGCAGCCGTATTCAGGATCCACTGAAGCGGGGATAGCCAGCGGCGAGGCAGGCCAGTAAGGAGGGAGTTGCAGTAGTCGAGTCGTGATATGATGAGGGAGTGGATGAGCTGTTTAGTGGTTTCTGGGGTTAGGAACGTACGTATTTTGGCGATGTTGCGGA